ATGCCATGAATGTATTGATTAAGACATTTTGCACTTATGTAAACAAATTCTATATTCCGGAACTCGCGTACGTGCATATAACTAGTGAAACTCCTGACATCTCTTAGGATGTCTCGCGTGAACCGTAAACAAACACAACCAAGGGGCGAACTAAAACAAGTGAACAAGTTGACGCGGCGGGATACTTCTCTGAAGTACACGTGATGTTCACTTGTTTCGCGAACTGTCACTTTATCCCATCGTTAAGAAAATTCTTCTATAGCTATATACATGGCTCAGCATTGTAAATCATATGATTGTTCTCTTGGCATAGAAAATGAACATATGAAGATAATTTCTTCTCATGCGGGTGGAGGTTGGGTAGAAAAATTGTCTCCGGGTGGTTTGATTGTCTCAATTGGTTAAATACAATAAAAGAGATTGGACTTCCATTTTCACAATTAAGTGGACAGAGCCGTGTATGCAAATACCAATATGTGGTACGGACACTGCAAAATTTTGTCACAGGAATTTTCATCTTTGAATGATCAAGTGGTAAACTTATACGCCAGGACAAGGATAATTATTAGGATACGACATTTAAATATTGAGGCCAAATCAAGATCTGCTGAACTTCACAACAGAAAGGCTAAAAAGTGGCCGGCTTCATTTTCTTCAGTTTCAAACAAAATTAAGGTACTTATATGATCATTTTCTTTTATTGTTTTCGTATTTTGCAACTTTTTTCGAAATAACTGTGTGGTGATTAAATTCTATAAAATGTAATGTGATATTGTACTTTCCAAGGTTAAGAGAAAGTTAAATGATATGAATCGATTTGCATCTCGTGTATAGTTTAAAATGCACTGTAGATCGCTATTAGAAACATTTATGAATTATCACTCACTTTAAAGAGCTCCTTTCAGAAAACTAGATAATTGATTTCAGATATTATTGTCGTTCTTTATTCTAAGTAAATATTTATAAATATTCTCCTGTATATTAGAATATTTAGCGTTATTTGACGTTGCCTTCAAGCAGCTGCATGGGCGTGACGGCGAGTTGTTCTCGATCACGACGTCTTGCGCAAAAGCCATTGCGCATCCACCCATTTCGCTCTACCCCTTATTCCAGTTATTTCCCCTTGTAACCCACTATTGACCTGGGGCCTGTTTCGCAGAAGTTACAAGTGAATTCACTGTTAACTTGTGGGAACCGCGGCAATCGCGTTTCACAATCATTTTGTATTAGTAATCACTAATAGTTACAAGTGAATGCCAAGTATTCACAAGCGAAATTCTACAAGAAACAAGTGCTTCTGTTTCGCAGAATTTACTAGTAGACTAATACAATTGAAAATGAGCAATATTGTGTCACAAGTACGTGTAGGGTTGAACGATTTACTATTACAAGTGACGATATTTTTATTTATTGTGCGTTCATAGGTATTTAGAATTAGAAAATAGCCTATTAGCGATAGTGATTTATTAATATTAGCGACAGTGAATTAGATAATGTGAAGTGCCGTATGCTCTCGAATTTTCTTCAAAATGTTTCTCCTTTTTCTTGCGTCTGAATGGCATTGCGAAGAAATGTATGAATAAAATAGAAAAGTAAGAATAATATGTAAGAAGCAAGTAAAGGAAAGTTCAAGAGAGAATGAAGTGATTTTAAAAGGAATGTAGAAAATGTATTATCTATAAAAAGTCCGAAATTGAAGTAAAAAGAAAGGGCGGAAAGTAAAAATAAATACAATTGGTCGTAAAAATAAAGGCTAAAACAAACGACGCCAGAGGCAACAAAACATACGCACGCAAATCCAAAAACGACAACTCGAGTCGGACACAAAAAACACAGGTAGACAGTCGATTCAATTCCAATGAATGCGAAAACGCGCATTTTATTTCAAATAATAATAATAATAATAATAATAATAATAATAATAATAATAATAATAATATAACGACAAAAGCTTTTTGGCGTTAACAAAACGCCTTCGACGTTACAGGAATGCACTAGCGAGGAAGCAACAGAAATACTCTTTTTAAAACAGAAAACAGAAAGCATTCACGGAATTATGTAAAGGAAAAGGCTGTAAGTGATATGAAGAAGTCAAAGTTTCCCTCAAAGGCACAAATAAGAAACTTTTGAAAGCTATCTGGTCCATCTACTGTGTCCCACAACCCAGATATGTCGTGGATTGAATGGAATATGACTGACACGAGATATCCCTCTAATGGGTGACCCATCATCACGTGGTAATTGTCAAGCCAGCTTTGGAACAAAGTAACATAATGGAAGGCACCAGCAGTGCCGTCCTGCACAATTATTGCTCTAAAAAATTTACCAGCAACTCACCATCAATATAGCTAATATTAATTCAATATTTTCTTTACGTACTCAGAAATCTACCTTACATCTTACTGACGGTAAGAACATTCTTGTTCCCAAAGGAGGATGACACTAAGAGCCTCGAAGTAAGACCTATAACTGCCTTCACAACTTTCTAAAACTGCATAACATACTTGGTTGTTTCACAAATGATGATGACACATATTGAGGAACAGAAATCTAGCAAATTGAACAGAAAGGATGTAGACCTGGGATCTTCCGGTTGGCAAGGAGCAACTCATTATAGCTCTGTAATTATGGGAAAGTGCTGAAAAACAAAAGAAACTTGTAGGCATGCTACATATGATTACGGTAAAGCTTTTCGACACAGGTGCCCCATTCTTGGCTCCTGCAAATGTTTGGATGTATACAAGATCACCCGTTTATCCAAAAACTTCTGAAACCGCGATTGGAGTCGATGGAGTACCAAACTGTATCTCTCTAATGGAAACAACCCGTAGCCATCCACACAGAGATACTATTACACATCCGCGCAGGGATTTTCCAGGTGACTCTTCAAGCCCTTTATTGTTCTGCTTAGCTTCAATCCCCTGTTAAACTCTACTAAATTCATCTAATTACGGAATCGCTCTTAAAAAGGGAAACTCAACTTTCTTCGTGTCTCACATCTTCTTTACATGGATGACCTGAAGCTCTATGCAGACCTGAGAGTCATATGCGGCAACTAATTAACGTTACGGAGAAGTTCACTGACGACATCAAGAAGAAATTCGGTTTGGATAAGTGCAGGAGAGTGAATATCATTTGGGGTCATATGAAAGTTATAAATTTGGAAACTGATAATGAACCAAAGATTACCTCCATGGAACCCCATGAAATTACAAATACTTGTGTTTCCAACAGTCACTCCGAATCAAACACACTGTGTTACTAAGAACATACTAACAACTGAGTGTGTAAGCGATTGCATGGACTCTTAAAAACTCAACTCTCTGATAGATACCTGTGCAGGCCCATCAATTCATTTGTTATTCCAGTGCTGACATACTTCTTTGGCGTTATTAAATGGAACAATACACGACCTCGAACAACCTCAGAGGACAATCGAACCGCTATGACTCAACATCGAAAACATCATCCCCATTCAAGTACTGAGCGTTTTACCCTTCCAAGGTCGCAAGGAGGGCGAGGTGTTGTAGATCTCATAAATCTACACAGCTCTCAAATTGCATCACTCAGAAGATACTTTTGGAACATTGCGGGAGAGTTCTGCAAGCAGGCGAGCGCAGTTGATAATAACTATATTCCTCTGAACTTGAAAAAGTTTGATCGCCTGATCAACCAATCATTGAAACGGAAGAGAAGATAACCTTATGGAAAGCGAAGGCACTGCATGGAAGGTACCCTCACGAGCTGAGTAAACCAGAAGTCGACATCTCTGCGTCGCACGCATGGCTCCAGCACGGGATCTCTTTCCCGAGACAGAGCCTTCATGATAGCTATCCAGGACCAGTGGTACCAACACATTGAACTACAGAAAACAATTCTGAGAGTTCTACCATTCATTCCGACTCGTGTTGAAGATGTGAGGCTGCAAGCGAAACTATCCAACACGTGACAAGTGGAGTGTAGCAGCCACGCCCAGTTGGAATACAAAAAGAGCATGATGAATGGCGAAGCAGATCACCAATTATTGGCATTGAGAATGGGCTTACTCACCATTCCGTGGGCCGTATTATAAATATGTGCCTCAGAATGTGCTTGAAAGTAGTGAGCACACACTCTACTGGCTACACACACTCTACACTCTCTCCATTATCAGACAGACATGTCGGCGTCAATAGACCCCATATAACTTACATTGGTAGAAACAATCAGCAGGTTTTCCTTATCGATATATCAATACCCATAGCATATCGGGAAAATAACAAGAGAAGATCCAGAAGTATATCGATCTCGCCCATGAAGTCGCAAATCAATGGAACTTCAGAGTCAGTGACAACTGTGCCTATAATAATAGCTACAGGAGTGATCCCGAAAATGACACTTCGGGCACTGGAGTGTCTTCACTTGGATGCCAGGAATGTGTATAATATGCAAAAGTAGGTAATTTTGAATACATGCCGTATTATCAGAAGCCATGTGAACCTTCAGTAAAGCAACCTCACACCTGGTCATCATTCCTGTGTGGGGTTGACATATCGACCTGTAGATACTGTGAATAATGTAAATAATAATAATAATAATAATAATAATAGTAATATTTTATTAAGTCACTTATACAATTACAATCGTGTATGACGAGTCACGTATGATGTATATTATAGGAAATAATAGACGTCGAAAAAAAATTATGAAAGTAATGGCTAGTCTCATCTAATAACATTCGCATCTACTCGTAGTGTGCAGTTTTTTTTAACGTTATTTATAATCGAATGCTTCGCAATTCTTTGGCATTTTCATTGAAAAAGACGATAGTAAGGTATACCAACAACACACAAGACACATTTAACTCTTAAGAAAGTCTGTAGGCAGACATTCAGCGCAGCTACAATGTTGAGATCATCTCTGAAGAATATACGCGGCAGAGCGATATTCAATTTTTTTAGAAGTGGTGCACTGACCTGATAGGCCCAGCTGAGGAGATCGGCCGTGCAGAGCACCCGCGAGGGCGCGCGCGTGTCGCAGCGGTAGAGCGTGCGCCACAGGGGCTGGGGCCCGCCGCTGGACGAGGAGTCGTCCGTGGGCAGCGGGGACAGCGGCACCGCCGCGCCGCCCGAGTCGTACGAGCTGCCGCCGCTGGTGCAGTTTCCTCCCGTCGGGCAGTACGTCACGGCGGTCATCGTCCCGGAATCTCCCGATCCTACGTATGGCGGCGATATTACACATTTACAGTAGATACCTCGTCTTGTGGACGGTTCAGGTTGCTCAAGTCGACAGCTGCTGCGTTTGCTACTGCAGCATCCCTGACTGGAAGGTCTTACGGTTCGGGTCCTGACGGTCGCGGATTTTCGACTTTAGTTGGGTCAAAATCAGCCGCTGTCTGCAGGAGAATTTTAGCGGCCACGGAACAGAGCTAGAATTCTAGCGAATTTCTAGATCTGTTCCGTGGTTTGGCCTGTTTTATTCCATCAATGTCGATGGATATTCAATTGCGAGTTTGGATCAAGCGTACGCAGGAGCAATGCCTAAATACAGGGGCCACGAACCGCATACTATCTTTCCTTTCACATCCTAGAGTCTTCCTCTGCCTTTACATTCACACTTACTCGCTCTTTACTACCATACATGTCGGGATACTAGCCCGAGATACGAGTACAAAGCCTAGATAATGTTGCAAGCCATTTTTATTTGCAGACGATTGCAATATCATGACCATAAAGTTGGCAAAACTGGACATAATATGGCATCTCCCGAATAAAACGTACTCCGGTCTTGGAAGCCTTGAATGCAAAATCAAAAGTTTACGTGGTAGTAGGTAGTAAGTGATCATGGATTCTGGAGCTATCGACTACTGTGGTTATTGCACACCTAAGAATGGTGCATGCTGAAAATCGGTATGTGTCAGATCTCCACCTCGCTGGAGAAGATACCCCCTGTGTGAATCTGCCCCCAGCGGGGGACCGTTCTTATTGGGGCAAACTCTAAGATTCCGGCTGGCATTCTGACTTATGTGATACATCATATGCACAATAGCGTGCAAGAACGCCTGTGTAAGAGAAGAGGGGTGGTTAAAGATAAAATAGGAATGATCCCTCTCAGACCATGGCCCTTTTGTTGAGGTACTGTTTCGGCAGTTGCCGGCTGTTGTTCGAAAAAAACACGGTAAACAACCATCAGAACAGTCAGCCGTTAGAATTCTACTCCAGGCGGCTATTGAATTCGACCAATGTTGCTGGTGTCGACAACCGCCGTCCAGACTCGAACCCTAGAACCTTTTACCAGAACTTTCAAACGTGTGATTAAACTCACTAAGTATTAAAACATTGGTATGTAATAGCTTTTTATTTATAATCTCCGGAATAAAAAATACTATATTAGAGAAACCATTTGACATTTTGCCAAATTCAGAATAAAAAGGAAAATTTGGTGAAAATTTAAAATCTCATAGCTTTATTACTATTTGCTTGAGTGCATTTATAGAGAATATTATGACCTTTAAAATTGAACAGAGCTTGCTTTGCACTACGATCAACCATTAAAAAGTTATTACCCAAAAATAAAAATAATTATTTTTTTCGGCTACCAATACTTGTCCCGACATATTTAGGGGTGGAAAACTTGGGGTTTTCTTACAAATAACAATACAAACAAAATTTTTTAAAAAATCTTCTACCTCACCTTTGGCAAGGTGGACCCTTTTTTGGCTCCTCATCGACTGCACTAATTAGCAGTTCGCTTATCTTTAAGCGTCCGCGTGCAAAGCCTCTCTGTTATCTGAACGCGCTCTTGGGCCTCACCTTCGCCAAAAATCCTTCGTACGCCTTCCTTCGGAGGGGAAGTAAAGCCGGCTGTCCCATGTTAGTAATTTTACTTACATGTAAAAGATCCTCAAGCCTAAATGACGCCTTTGAGCTAAATTCAAATCGCCTGTTTCTCGCCCAGATATACCTCCTTTCTCTGTTCGTAGTTGGTGAAAGGAGCGTAGCGAAATTTGCGTGGTCAGACGGAAGATCAGGCCTCATGGCACTGCGTCTCACCACGTATTAAAAAGAATTCGATCGATCGCGCGATTCGATTCGATTCGATTCACATTATTCAATTCAATTCAATTTCACCTTGCTGGGAGCCGCCGCCCATGCTGTAGGCGGACTCGCCCGGAGCTGAGCAGCATGCGCGCGCGCCGCGCCGCCCGCCTCGGCCGCCGCCAGCTGCGGCGCCGCGCGTCGCGTCCATGCGGCCCGTGCGCGGGTCCACCTGTCCACGAAGCCGTCGCGGTGCCGCAGCAGGTAGTTGTGCAGGTTCCCGTACGGGCAGTACTCCCACTATCACCAGAAGCTCCCCTGCAACGCAACGCGGGGCCGGTGCTCTGGCTCGCTGACAGGCGAGGGGCAATGTGGGTTCGACTATTCTATGCTCTGATTTATTTAGACCTGCGTCTGACGTAAATCAGCTGTTACGGTGTCATCAAACCGGGAGCTTACACGTCACTACAGTGACGACTCAACGGTGACGTTCAACCTACCGATTGAATGACACTGTAACAGAAGCGCGGTTATGTTTAAATCCAAGTATACGTAGGCGAATCCAAAAGTATGTTACACTAGGTTGCCGCGAGAGCACACTGTGTGTGACGGAGCAAGCTACACTAACTACACTAACTACGGACACGTCCGATAGGAAGGTTGATGTGGTGTCTCGACCTGCTGTGTGTGCAGCGTGGGCTAGGCTCAATAGCGCGTCACCTGAATGCTCACTCCAAATTGGAGGTGCGTTTGTATTGTAAAATGTTTAATCGGTTGCGTAAGATAATTAAAGAAAAGCGTCGGGGGACATTGAGCGCTGGTGTGACTTTTGTTTTACGATAACGCAACACCTCACATGGCCTGCCAAACGCCCGAACTGGTGCAGCGATTGAAGTGGGAAGTACGGCAACATCCTCCATACAGTCCAGGCTTAGCGCCTGATAGGCGCTTAGGAAGAGCTCACAATTAATTATGTTGCCGCTGTACAATCGCCGCTTCGCTTTCAAGAACTATTACGAACTGGAGTAAGTTGCCTGCGACAGTTCTTGAACACTTTCCTCTAGGTGTTCAAAAATAAATTATTAAAATTTATTAATCCATGCATAGGAAGTTATAATTGTTACATTAAGTACAATACATCAGTACATTTTATTAAGTACATAAACTATCGATCATTAACGTCGTTATTGTATTGAAGGGTTGCATCGTGTGGTAAAGTATAGAATGAGGTAGAAGAGAAGTGCTATGTAGTGTCAAGTGAAGTGAAACGTAAAGTAGATGGAAAATCACGTGTTTAATACGATAGAAAATTTATATAAGGTAGACATAAATATTCAGGCTTATTGATTAGTATTTTGTTACTGCGTATATATTTTGCATAACAATTGTTTATTATTCTTATTGGTTATATAAAAAATGACACAATGTATATTACTTTAAAACAACTATATAAAGTAGTAAAAATGTAGAATTACTTCTATTGATATTTTTATTATTATTACTATTCTTATCACTACTATTGTTATTATTACTATTACTATTATTATTATTGACGTGAAGGCCTCTACTGACTACGCTACAAGATTAACGTGTGTACTTTTTTCCAGGATCAGCTTTTCAGCTGTATCCCTCAGTACGAAAAGGTTGTTACGCCTTGAAGTGTGAATTATGCGATTATAGGATGATGATGAGGGATGAAGGCAGGGACATTCACAAATACGACTATGAGTACCAGGATTTGAACCTGCAGCCTCCTTGGCGCAGACGACGGCCGCCGCAACCGTCTGCGCCACGGGGCCGACTTATTTATTATTGTTATTGTTATTATTGCTATTGCTATTATTGCTACTGCTATTATTGTTATTGATATTATTGTTATTGCTGTTATTGTTATTGCTATTATTGTTATTGCTATTATTGTTATTGCTATTATTGTTATTGCTGTTATTGTTATTGCTGTTATTGTTATTGCTGTTATTGTTATTGCTATTATTATTATTGCTGTTATTATTATTATTATTATTATTATTATTATTTCAAAACCATTTTAAGTATAAATATCCTTGATTTATTAAGTACATTACAGCGTTCTGCCAGGCAGTTTGAAAAAACCCACTGCCAGAAAGAATCAACGAGTTCCCGAGCGAGGCCACTCACGTTCCATGATGCGCCCCGTGCACGCGCCCAGCAGGTTCACCACGTTGAGGTGGCGGCCCAGGTGCACGAGGATCTTGAGCTCGGAGGCGAGGGCGCGCAGGTAGGCGTCGTCGGCGCCGCGCTTCACCATCTTCACCGCCACCGTCGAGATGTCCTCGTCGTCCACGATGCCGCGCGCCTCCGCCTTCATCACCACGCCGAACGCGCCGGCGCCCAGCTGCCTGCCTGCAACAATCACCCACTCAGCCATTAGAGCGCACTCACACGTCGCGACGGCAGCACGCTTCCGTCGAGACTCGCTACGCGAAGCGGAGGAGGGGGTACGCGTCACCGCTAGCAGAATACAGCTTTAAATGGTAGCCTTCTCACGTCGCTGCGTTTTACCTGCTGCGGTCCCTTTGTTCGACGTCGCCGGAGGGTCGGCGAAGAGCCCTGCCGATTGACGTACGCACGCTGCCGTGGCGGCGTGGGAAGGCTTAGTGCGCCTTCACACGGCGCCACAGCGACGCGCAGGGATCTTCCCACGCCGCCACCACGCCACGGCCGCACCGCCGTTCGCCGTGGAGAGGGTGGGTTCTGCAGAGGTATGTTTCGCCGACCCTCCGGCGGCGACGAACAAAGGGACCGCGGCAAGTAAAACGCCGCAACCGGCGGCACAGTGGGAACACCATCATTTGAAGCTGTGTTCTGCTAGCGGTGGCGCGTACGCCCTTCTCAGCTTCTCGTGGCGAAGGTTCGCCGTCGCACGTGGGAAGATCTCCATACAAACCAATGCTCTACGAGCCGCGCTGTTCGAAAGCGCGCAGCGGTGGCGACGAGAGAAAGGGCCCTTAGGTTTCCCGGGTTCCAACTACGTTGGGCGTTAGCCCCCGTCAGTGTAGTAGATGTCGCTTCTCCTTTTTTAACGTTACTTTTCTACCACTTTGGTCGTATAGCGACTACTGTGATAGTTTTAATTGTAGGAAGAACACGTAAGGGTTCATATGCACTACACTACACAACTTATCGGGAAACCGTTCGGGATCTTAGATCTCGTCATCCAGCTGGGGAAGATCACCATCTCCCGCAATGAAAACATGCACTGTACTTACGGAACTAATTATATTGTTACACAATCAGGTTTTCTTCCCTCCGGCGTGGCAGTGCCTCAGGGGAGGGTTTCAAGCTACCGACTTATCTTCCGACTTACAAAAGGCTAGTGCATGTAAGTGTTGTGTGTGTGTAATGGCGGAGGCAAATATGAATAAAAGATTAAGTGCGATTCGTGTTACGTTTGTTAAGAGAACTTCTGCTCCAGCAATCGCCTGGTATTGGTCAAAGAAACAACGGAAAACTACCAATGAGAGCAGCCGGTCGCCAGAATTGAATCGTTTATTTCAGAAACATGTCAAACGCCAAATTCCTCAATTCGAGAAAACTGGAAAAAAAAGTCTCTCCATTTTTCTGGTTTCACAATACATTTTATTTATTAAAGCTGTTGACAAATAAATATTTTTTTCATATAAATTTTCACTAAACGACGTGTCTATCCTCTTGGAACAATAATCCACCGCTAATGCGCGTTTTAGATTTTGGCGTTTGACAGGTTCCTGAAATAAACAATTCACTTCCCCCCCAGACAGCGGTTCGACCTAGAAGAGCTAGTAGCAACGGAGCGTGCGTGCGCGCGTGCGTGCTCACCGAGGATGAGGTCCTCGCGCGGGAACTCCCAGCGCGCCTCGTACGGCAGCAGCTCGGCCTGCTCGTCGGCGGGCAGCGTGGGGTCGAGGGAGCCGGGCTCGCCGGCCACCAGCCCCTGCAGCCCCGCCGCGCAGTGCAGCCGCCGCCGATCCCGCTGCAACCGCGGCGCGCGCGCGGATCAGCGTTGGCGGGTGGGATGCGGGACGGGGGAGGCAACAGGCAAACCGCGCTCTTACTGCGCGGGCGTTCGCAGGCAGCTCTCGAAAGAGCTAGGAACGCGGCTTCGAAGGCGATGTTTTCAAAACATCGATGTTCTTTAAAAAAAATAACCGTTTCAAATATCGATGATTTGCAGTCGATAGTTTTTTGATCATCGATGTTTTGTGCTCCACACATTCGTTTTCGGCGCGTAGCGACCAACCTCATTCCGTTCGATTCCGTGTAGTGTGGAGCAGTTGCTTGCTACTTGCCGAGTTACAAACATTCGGTGATTCGGTCCGTGTGTCGGACACATCAAAGGGGCAAACAAGAACCGAACACATGAGCTGTTCGTGATTGGGCGAACAGTAGTTCCCTATTTAGAAAACGTCGAATGTGTGGAGTTGCCTTTAGATCGCGGGCGCTCGCTGGCAGTTCTGGAACGAGATCGTCAGCTCGCAGGCGGGAAGTGGAGGACTACAAAAAAGGGAGAGGCACCGTTTGGAATTAGAAACATGAATCGACAGTTCTACACTCTGATGGTCGGAATGTATATTTTTTATCGTTTTGGCAGCTGCCACACGTTATGAATCTTCTTTTGGGACATCAAAGCGAAAACATGATGGGTAATATTCTCTTCTTCCATAATATCACGTATTCCGCTACTTGGGCGCCTGTTTTTATTGTAAAAAATACAAGGGTATGCAAATATTTCATTAAACGATGGAGAGGGCGATGACGAGGGAGAAGGTGATTACGAGGGCGAGAGAGAGAGAGAGAGAGAGGGGGG